GTGGGGCGGAGGAGAAGCCGCGTCCCGGCTCCCGAGCGCTGGCCCAGCGCGTTGTGGCGCCGGGGTCCAGGAGAGAGGCCCGCGGGTGCTTTGTGGTTGCTTAGGCGCCTTCCATGGGCTCTCAGCCAAACCCACTGGGACACCCAAAGACCTGGCGATGGGGGAGCCGCCTTCCCACCCCCAGGCACCCCCTCCCGCCGCCGCTGTGCCCTGAGCTCTGCCTCTCAGCTTTGGGTAGCAGGCGGCTGCTTTGCAGGGCCGGCTCTGCTGCCTCCCGCTTTGCTCCCAGCTCGGTGGCTCTTGGTCGTAGCCACCCAGCAGGGGCAGATGTAGGGCAGAGCGAGTGGGGCGGCCGCCCCGGGCCCCGCACTTCAAGAAGCCCTGTGCATGCGCTGTGGCAAAGGGGGGGCCCCGCGGAGTTATGCTGCCCGGGGCCCCGCAAAACAGTCATCTGCCCCTGCTCATCACCATTGTTTCTGGTGCCTTCCAATAGTGCATTAGGTGCATTTCTTGTGTTTTTTGTTCTCTCATATTGTCTCTGGGGTGGGAATACGGATAATCTTGTTTTGGTAGGTTGTGAGTGCTTTATATACTATGCATATTGCTAAGTACTTATTATTAGAGAAGACTACATCAAATAAATGCACCTTGTAGAGCATGGAGAGGCTTTTGATGGTTCCCAGGTAGTCCATTGCACAGTCTAGGACACCCTAGAAGAAAGATCTGTCTCCTGCACTGGTGATCTTTACCCTTATTGTAGACAAGTCTCACAGGGGTAGCGGTGTTAGTCTGTATCTGCAAAAACAAGGAGCCCTGAAGCACCTTAAAGACTAACAGATTTATTTGGCCATAACCTTTTGTGGGTAAAATTCACTTCATGAGATGCATGAAGAGCTTTGGTGATTCTGAGGACCACCATTGTTGATCAGTTTTCATGCCAGAACCTTGGGCTGCTGGATATAAAGACCTTGAAATTGATAGGCAATTTTATGGGAAAGCAATGTAGAGGACAGGTAGGATGTGCTTACAGATGTCTGGGATGCTGAAGAGTCATGGTGCAGCATTCTTTACTTGTTGGCATTTCCTAAGCAATGAAGGCTTCATATTCAGGCCTACCACTGGTGGAGTGCTTTTGTTCGGTGTTCCTGTTCTGAGATTACTAGTACTTTAATACAAAGTAGGTTGCCCAACTGGTGCAGCATTGGAATTACCGGTAATATATGAGAAATTTCCTGCACTTCTTCCTGGCTATTTTCATGGCAATATTTTCAAAATACTCAAAAGAATAAGTGTAAATTAGTAGTGACCTGTGAAACATTGCCCCCTTCCATAGTAAAAGGGGGTTCTTCTGTGCGCAGGAGAAAAAGGCATGTAAATTCTTATTGACCCAGTGTGGGAGTTGATGAGAGGTGAGAGATAAGTTGCCTCCGGGCATATTTGAAAAAGTACTCATTCCTTTCCACAAACAGTTCAGTGAATACAATGTTACTGACACAAATGTTCATAAAATAATAAAATGAGTTCTCTGCACCAGCAACGAAAATACGTGTTCTTCATTCAAATACATGTCAGTAAGTATTTCTCATACCATTTATCCTGCTCTAATCACAGTATTTGCAAAATGGCATCACTACCAACACAGTTTCCAGGAAACACCAAGCTGTGGGGCTGTGTCTACATTGGCACCCTTTTCCGGAAAAGGGATGCTAATGAGACCAGTCAGAATTGCAAATGCCACGGGGGATTTAAATATCCCCCGCGGCATTTGCA